CGTTGTGTGGCGTCCCTTGGTCTCAAATTCTCACAATAGCTATCCAAATAAGCAAACTAACGCGTGAAGTGTACAACAATTTCTTATGCAATATTTAACTTGATATTAGGTTCGTTCGTTTACTCAATAATTTGTACGAATTTGTACAAATTATTACAAAATGTTGTTCGTTTACCCAAAACTCCAGTAAAAGAGAGTGAATTGAGAGAGCAGATTTGACAGTTGTGTTACTGAGTATTTGCAAATTCTTACAAGGAAAATTTACTCAGTAAGAATTTTCTTGTACCATCAGCTGATATTTAATCAGCTGTTTTGCTATATTTTGTAAACAAACAACAAAATTGTCTTCAACCAAATTGATTGTTTTGTGAATTTTATATTGATTTTGTATTATTAAACATTAAAATTGATGAAGAAAACGCAAGTATTGGTAAACAACATACATATTCCGCTTGTTATCCATTTTTCTAATAAAAATGCTGTTTTTTAGTCTGCGCCAATTTGTTTGTTGTTTTAATCAGCTGTGTCGAAACAATCTTTTTACTGGATGTTGTTCGTTTACTTTTTGCAGTTTTCTCTCTTTAGAAGGAAAAATTCGTATTTACTCTCTGCAAATTCTTACTGAGTAAATATTACTGGGAAAGTAAACGAACGAACCTATTCCATGAGGTTGTTATTTAACCGTTATTAAGTTGTAAATGATATCGGTGGATACTTTTCACTGTGAGGTTGGAATTGATTTTTGGTCTGTTCCCGTACTGCAAGAATCTACTATTTTTTAATCCGATAACACTTTTTTCCTTTATGATATCGAAGAAAATAGTAAAATTGAGTAGATTCTTGCAGTACGGGAACAGGCCAATAGTGTCATATTACATTACAAACAAAAAATTTTTTAACAAAATTTTCCTTTATGATATCGGCAAAAATAGTAGAAACTAGTAGATTCTTGCAGTAAGGGAACAGACCAATTGTTTATTTTATTGCATTAATTTTAAGTTAAAATGTTCATATTCCCATATAAAAAATAATATAATTTTTTTTAATGCTTATCACGCACTTATGCCATTTTTAAAAATGCTATTTTTGTAATGGAAATACCTAGTGGAAACTTTTGACTCACTGTACGTTACGTTACAGCGCGCTAATGACTAACCAAGAGAGAATTTTTGTTTACATTGCTCTTTCACGTGTATTGCTGGTTTCGGCTCTCTGTTTATGATTGAGACAGATGTTTTCTGGCTTTATGCATTACACTCATTCGTAAACAATACGGAATTTTGCCTTTCTCCCTCAATTCGTTACATGTGGAACGCTTTTAAATTAGATAGGTTCATTGAGTAAATCCGCACCGGGAACATTGTTAAATAATGAATTAAAGTTTAAACCAAAACGTGCAACTATGTATCCTAGGCAATTATTTAGAAGTATTTTAACAAATAATTTACATTTTTATCAATGCTACCAAAGCACAACAACAAAACTATGGAAACCTCTTACCACCACCCGGTATTTACATTTGGTGCCTTCCAACTTTGCCAAAATTTATATGGACCGGGAGAATCTGCATGCTCATCAGGTGCTGGAGGAATCATTGAAACCATATCAAATATTTGCAACCGATGTGAGATTACATCCCGATTCCAAGTCCATTGAACTTCAAGAAATTGTAAAATGTTTGCCGGAAAATGCCAGTACCAGTGAAGTTTTCGCACAATTCCAAAGGGTATGTGAATACTGCCATAACACCAATAGCCTAATATCGAATAATGCATTTACGGCATTTGTCCAACAATTCTGTGATCGCATCCATTTGCTTAGCGATGAAGAGCTGAGAGGATCGCTAAAAGCTTTGACCCTGCTGCCACAAGAGGAAAATGTTCGAGTACAAAATTTTGTTGAACTCTGGAATATTTTGGATATTGAATGTTGTCGTCGCATAGAAAAGTGGTCCACGGATGAGTTGTTGTTGGTATGTGATGCCTGGTATTCATTGAATTTGGCACGGATATGTGAATATGTTTGGGAGGCATTGCGTAAACTTGGTCGCAAGGTTATAAAGATGCAACCCTCCCAATTGGTGCAGACAATGTTCTTCTGTAATATCATGCGTCGCACGGTGTTCGATATGTTTGATTTTGAAGTTAATTTGGCCAAGTGTGCCAAGGATATGACACTGGGAGAGTTGGGTGTTATGTCAATGGGTTTCTTTAAGACACAGACGCCCATACGGAATCCTGAACTCATAAATTATATTTATGAAAGATTAATGCAAGAATTGGATACCGTGGATGAGATCACCTTTGTTGCAATACTTAAGGTAAGTAATGATCCCTCTAATTTTTAATAAGATATTAACAATTATTTTTCTTTCTATCCTAGGCTCTGCGTTACAGTTCCAAACTGCCACAAGTTGACATAATGATGAAATTATTGGATAAAATCAGCGCCGAGAAATTTGATGACATGAATTTACTAACAAGTCTACATGTTGCCCTACTTGGCTGTGAGCTGCAATGTTGCCACGAGGAAATTGTAGAGAAAATCCTAAATAAATTTCATAATGAAATGTCAAACACCCGCCTTAAAGACTTGGAACGTATATCCTTGGCTGTGGCTTTATTTAATATTAAAACACCCAATAAAATCGAAGATTTGCTGTGCCAGAAAATTTTAGAATCCCTTAAGGGACGTATTGATGAAATAATGAAACACCCCAAATGTTTTACCAACTGTCTACATTATCTCACCCTAAGGGGTTTCTACGACAAAGAAATGTTATCGGTTGCCTTAGATCGAAGATTTTTAAAACATGCCGTTGGTTCCAGTTTAGCCATTAGTAGAGAAATTTTCAACTTGGATACATTTGTCAAGGTGAATTTGGCAAATGACAATTATGAGGGTAATCAATTGGCTGATAAATATCGCAAAACAATGGGTAAAATGTTGACGCATTATATACCCGATAATAATCCAAAATACAAATTGAATGCCACCGATCGAATATTACTGCAAATGAAAGAAATAACAGCTGGATTTCTACCCCATTGCCAGTTGAAACATATTTTACCAAATTATGAAAGAGCTGATGTTGTGATATGTTATGATCGTGTGAAGCGAAAATCGTTACCACTTTCACCAACATGTCCGGAAGATTATAATGGTAGGTCTAGAATTATGATTTGGTTTTTAAGAAATTTTTTTATCTTCTATATGAATTTTAGGTATTATATTGACCAGAGAACAGCTTTTAGGTGATAAGCTGCATGAGGATATTGAAACTGTTGCCTTCATTATTGCTGGCTGGAACAATGTGATAAGAGGCAAGAACAGACATACCGGATTATTTGATATGAAATTAAAACAATTGGAATTATTGGGTCATAAATCAGTTGTGGTGAGTATGAATATTAATAATCTAATTTAATCAATAAATAACCCATATCAACAAATCCTATATGTCCATTTTTAAAGATTATCATTGTATAGAACACTTTTAAAGATATTTCATTAATAGAATATTATACATACATTTACATCTGATAAATGACTTTTTAGATAAAAATACCTGATTGAGATAAAAATATCTTCTGCATATTCATTTTTTGGATTATTTGTCTCTATATAACATTTTGAAATATCTACACAAAGAATAACTACTGAGGATCATCTAATAAACATGTATAGAAGAAAAGTTCTACTGCAGATATATAAACTTTTAATAATATAAAAGAGTCCTTCTGAATATCTTGCTTTGATATTAATTTTTTGCGTCTTCTTCTCTTCATCAAAATTCCTTGTAGTTTGTGTCTTATAATTTGTATTTGAATATGTATTCTTAATGTCATAATTTGTTTCTTTCTTTCAGATATATTGGCATGAATGGCGCGAGTTAGAAACCCGTCAGGATCGCATCAACTTTGTTAAACGTCGTTTATCTTCCGTTATTAACTTGTAATAAAAAATGTTTGCCAAAAAGTTTATATAACTAAATAAATGCATTGTTTTAAGTGCACAAATTTCCTAGCCATCGAGGTGTATTACATTGTGAACTAGTCGAAAGAATTTGGTTTCGAAGTACAATGAAATAAAAAGAAAAAATCGTGTATACTGGATAAACATACAGTAAGTTGTCTTCAATCAAAACTTAAATTGGAATGTTATTAACTTCAAATTTCCTATCCGACGAGGTCTATTACATTGTGAATTAGTCGAAAAAAATGGATTCAAAGTAAAATGAAATAAAAAGAAAAAATCGCCTATACTGAATAAACATTCAGTAAGTTGTCATCAAATAACACATAAATCAAACTGAGACAACTCCAGCATTATGTCCAAATTGGGATTAAAACTAAGCTTCATAGTATTGACAGATTATTGTCTTCAGTTCCAATTGAAGGGATGAGCCAATGGCACTACTTTGTTCAATTGTCTTAGCGACTGGATCGGCAATGTTCATGTAGATACTGTCTAGACTTTACAAATGAGTCGATTTATGCATGTCCGTCCGTTCGTCTCTCTATACATGTTAAATTGTAAACAAATACATGTCGCATTTATGATCAGAATTGGATGAAATTTGACACAACTCATTTATTTGGCCCGAGAACAAACCCTATTGATATTGGTAATAATCGGTCCAGATTTCGATATAGCTCCCATATATATTTTCGTCCGATTTAATGTAAATGGTACACCAAAGTCCCTATATATCTTTCAATTTGCATGAAATTTAGCATAGCACACTGAATTGATTCTAGAATGATGTGTGTTAAGTTTCGAGAAAATCGGGCGTAAGATTCATTCAATTCGATTAATTTATCAATTCATTATACCAATAGAAACACTAATAGTGAATTAAGTCTTATCAATATTTTATCAATTTCATTAATAAAAAAACCATTTATTATTCCTTCTTAACTTATAGTACCTGTATAAAACATTTACAACAACAAATGCAATTAACTTAAAAAAAGAAACAAAACAAAATAAATGCATTCTTTAAGGTCACAATATTTCATTTAAAGTCTTTTTGGTATATTCATAGACAAGGAATAGAGTGGCAGTGGCTGGTATTGTTCGCAACACCGACGGCAGCAGACCATTGTATAAAGCTAAAAATCCTTCTTTACGTATAATTTCCAAACCCACCGAAGTCATAGAACGTTTCAAATTGTTGACTTGGATGCGTGATTTAATAACATCAGCTGGGAAGATGCTAGTCCATAGGGTAACACCACCCACGGCACCGGCAAACATTGTTTTCAGGGCGCCAATTTCTTCTTTGGTTTGATTTGGTCTGTGGGGAATAAAAAACAAATAAATAATGATGTGGTTTAATTGAAAAGCTATTAAAAGTAATTTATTGAACTTACTTCCTAAGAAGTTCTCTGGTTCCTTCATAACCTCCAAAGAAGAAGAAATAGCCAGGCATTTCACGCATAAATGTTGATGTTAGGCCTCGGAAGAAGCCGGGTATGCCTGCAATAGAAAATTATATTTATTTAAATTTCTTAATCTGTATGAGTGAGTGCAATAAAATTCCCCTATAATAAACTGATAATTATCGACATCATCCCGCCAGTCAGAGGAAGACGGTTTTATATTACTAGAGGATCCCCTCCCCTATAATTTGGGTAGAATTACTATCTTGGAGTATTGAAAACACTACACTCTGTCATATCAAACTAATATTTATAACGTTTAAAGCATATTCGTCTGTTTAGGACATTTTATTTGTTAAATAGCTAAGATTTAAACTATTTTCCCAGAAAATAATAAAAGTTGGACCAATATATTTCCTTTTCTCTACATTATTCCTAATTCGGTTTAAACTCCCTGTTTCAACATCACAACACTTGTATATCAGTGGCATGCTAATCAGTCAACTTGCTTGCTAACAGGGTTAGACACACCTTCCAAATCATTAGTGCACTTATCCGATAATTCTCGGCGCCATATCTAATCTAAAAGAATTTTTTGTTTGTGTGATTCTTCAGTCATCTGATACTACAAAAACACTCTGTAAACAATTGATAATCTTAAATCTGTTTTTAAATGTTAGCAGAATAAAACAATTCTATAACATTACCTTCCGTAGCCATGATGTGTTTTGTCAATTTCCAAGGTGTTATTGGCAAATTATTACTACCCTTGGGATTGTGTTGTTGCATCTGAAAAGAAAAATATAATTTTAAGAAAAGATACTAACATTTGTGTTTGGTTTTCTTACCTCTCTCAATGCCTGCAGTTTACATTTAACCAATTCCGTTGGACACAGGGTAAAGGTGGAAAAGAATGCTGCCAAAAATCCAGCAAAAGCATGACCCACTGTTGGCATATCTTTCACCTCTTCTATGTTCATGCCATAGGCAACAACTTTTTGGCAACCACCATAGGCGGCAAATAGTACTGAGTTTTCGGCAACATTTGCAATTACAGCTGGTACAGAACCAGCATATAAACCACGAACGATACCATCTGCACGATATGTTTTGACAAAACAATCGACCATATTTTTGTACATTTGGGGGAATGATTGTTGTTTAACTTTTACCGTATCTAAGGGTTGGGAGACATATACCTGTAGGGCACCACCTGAAGAAGAGAAATGAACAATTTAATAACAATGTTTTGGCTTAGAAATGTAATAATGGAAGAAAATCAAGAAATTCGCTTTCGGGGAGAAGAGCAGAATGCTAATGGACGCGTCCACAGGTTGCGTCCATCTGCTTTTCTATAGTAAGGAGACGTCTAGCTCTCATTTAGGAAAAAAAGTCCAGCTCTTCTATAGAAAGACGAATGCATGTAGCTCTTCCAAAGGAAGAAGAATACTTGCAGCTCTTCCGCAGGAAGAATAACACTTGCAGCTGTTCCACAGGAAGAAGAATACTTTCAGCTCTTCCATAGGAAGAAGTGTACCTCCAGCTCTCTTATAGGAAGAGGAATACGTGTAACTCTTAAACAGGAAGATGAATATCTGCAGATCTTCCACAGGAAGAAGAATACCTCCAGCTCTCATATAGGAAGAAGAATACCTCCAGCTCTTAAACAGGAAGAAGCATACCTCCAGCTCTTCTTACGTGTAACTCTTAAACTGGAAGAAGAAGACTTGCAACTCTTCTATAGGAAGAATATCTGCTGCTTTTCTTTAGGAAGAAGAATATCTGCAGCTCTTCCACAGGAAGAAGAATACCCCCAGCTCCCCTATAGGAAGAACAATGCCTGCAGTTCTTCTATAGGAACGAAGAATACCTGCAGGCTGTGGGAAGCCCAATATTATTCTTTGGGTAGCTGTGAATACCAAATAACCAGTCGCGGAAAATCAGCGGGTCCTGAGACAGGAAATGAAAGAATGCCTATGATCTCAGGACTGAATAGGTGAGAATGGCGCCTTCAAATATCCATTTTCAAAGTCTTAGGTCATCCCCATAACGCTGGGTTTAGGCGACCACATGAACATCAGTTTTGGGGTTTGCAGTCAGGGTCCGGACTGTATTTGAACGGAGCCTTGTTGTTACCTGGGCGCCTCAACAAGTTTTTCAGGCTTAGTTGTCTTTGCCATGGTAAGAGGATATGCCATGTCCGACCTAAAATCCCTACAAAATCAATCTTGTATGGATCCGAATTTTAATATATACATATATCCGAATTTTCGATTGATCTCAGTCTCGAACCCGACAATGCCGGACCTTATTCAACCCCCAAAAACGATGACGGTCAACACTATTCTACCGGACCATTCTTTTGCCTCAAACCCCATTACTTTCGACGACGTAAATGAAAGCATGGAGAGACATCCGGACCTTCTCCTCAACCTTATAGAGTAAACCGTCACATTTTGCCTTAGTCAGGAGAGAATCCCGAATAAAGTCTGGAACAATTCACCCTTGACAGTCAGACAGTGACTAACACGAAAGCTATTCTGGTGATTCCTCCTAATCAAGGTGAGTCCTCTCAGATGATGAGTAAAACCCTGGCGAGGAAGAGGATCCAAACTACATCTCCGCGGCCTGTAGTGAAGTATCGAGACTCCTGAGGCAGTTGACCATCGAAGTGGATACTGGGGCTGGTGAGCTTCCCATCGAAACCGTCACATTCTGCATTAGTCAGGAGAGAATCCCGAATAAAATCTTGGACAATTCATCCTTGACAGTCAGACAGTGACTAACACGAAAGCTATTCTGGTGATTCCTCCTAATCAAGGTGAGTCCTCTTAGATGATGAGTAAACCCTGGCGAGGAAGAGGATCCAAAATACATCACCTGCCTGTAGTTAAGTGGATACTGCTCATTAGTCTCCCATCGAAAAGATGGATGAATCATCAGAACCGGGAACCACAAAACGAGTCAAAACCAAAGATATCTCTGACAAGAAGATTTACGGGAGAGCGGTTAATTACTGCAACCGGTTTATTGGACGGTACAGAGATTCGATTGCGGATAAAGAATTCCTTATAATTAAGAGGAACCTCAAATTCACCCGGAAGTTTTCCAGGAACTATTGGAATGATATTGCGAGTGACTTCATAATTGATAAAATTCTAACATCACGTGCGAAGTCCACCACGGTAGCCCCTCCAAAAGAGCATAAAACTGTGAGTGGCCCGAGCACAACTAGGACTCCCCGAGCGCTCTGACACCATACTCCACTGCCGTTTATGGCTTCGGAGACCGCATATTGATGCACAGATTGCATGGACAATGCTATCGACGATCTCCCCCTGAATTTCTGACGGATGTTTAAAGGTTCCTGAAGCGAGAAAAATATCTTTGCAAATAGTTTTCAATATACATAGTTTTATATTTTGACATTTCCGTATTTTGTTGATGTAATTAGCCATTTCAGATTTCTGATGGGACATATCGGTCCATGTTTTGGTATAGCCCCTTTATAACGGTACCCCTTAATGGGATGTTGGGTTAAAAAAAACGAATTGGTTGTAACTTGGCATTTTGGATTCTTATTGCATAGCAAAAAAAATTATCAATATGACGGTGACCCCAATACTGGGTTGAATATCCTAGAACAGTTTTCCAACTTAAGCGTTATTAATGTTCTCAAAGCTCATTTACTCAGTCTCACACACGTACCGAAATCCACTAGGCCCGATTCCAATGGTATTTTTTTTCGATTTGTTCATCTATGGCTCTTGAGCTGATGTAATAAGGAATTAAATCGATTGTCTTATATCGTATTTTTTTTTTTTTTTTTGTAATCTACGGTGTTGTTATTTGGAAATGGTGTAATTAAAATATCTCTTGGCAATCGATATACTCAAAATGTGACATGTGAAACTGTTGAATATGAGATATAAAGCCGTCGAAAATTTGCCATTGACAACAACCACATATTCCATATTCCTAACACTTACCCAATGAACCGGCCGTAAAATCGATAAGACCTTGTCGCAATTTGCCATCTGAAGCCGAAACATTTTGATCTGTCGAATAGATAAAAGGGAGTATGAAAATAAAATCAATTTCCCGAAATAAAGCGTAAACATACATACCCAACATTGCTGACACCTTTTTTCTAAATTTTCTTTTTTTATTAATAAATAAAACTTTATTTTAATTGTGTTTCTTTCTTAGTTCAGATTCCTTTGCTTATAATAACAATGACAACAATAGCAGACAGACAGCAGTAGCAGCGGCTTCGTCAGCACAAATAGCAACAAGAATAATCCAAACAGATTCAGAATAGTTTGCAATTACATTGGGGACACCAAACACTACTCCCCCAGAATACTTTTGGCACACAACTAATCAATGAACTGAACTTGAAAAGACTGGAGAGCTCAATAAACAAACTGTTTACTACGCCAAGATAAGGAATGGGCCTCACTCTCTTTGCATTGCTACTCTCGAACAAAAGGTGCCTGTCTCTTTGCTTGAATTGTGGTGGCTCTCTTCTATAGCCAGTTTCATTTGTTATCAGTAAAATTGCGTCATATGAACGAGCACGTTTTTAGTTTGACTGGTCTCTGATGTCGTTTCTCAGTGTTATCAGCAAAATTGTTCGTTGAACTAAGAGAATTTTGATTTTTTTGGGATATGGATATTTTTATCTGTATTTTTATGAATGAGAAAAAAAGAGTTTTGAAAATATTCGAATTATTGGAAAGATACATCTGAAAGAGATAAAAATACCAATCATTATTACAGTATACTTCAAAAGTATGTTATTACAAATACTTTGAGCTAATACTTCGCCATCTTGGTACCTGATGGCGAAGTACCAGCAAAATCGGTATGAATGATTTCTTGAAATAAAAAATAATCCTAATACGGTTGAAAAGGTTAGGCCAAAGACTCAAAAACCGACTAGAAGGAAAAATCACCTAGCAACAAAAGAAAGGGAGCCGAGGAAAAAACACCTGACTCCCAAAAAACCGTTTACTTGGCAGAAGTAAGCCAGGTGAACCTCCATCGGAGTGAGACGGCAAAACTGGCTCTGATGGCAAGAATAATTAAAGGCAATATAAAAATCGAGTAAATACAGTAACATTGGAGTGTAAAAAACAAGGTCTCTGAACTAATCCACATAAATAACAAACTATTTTATTTACCTAGCATCAGTCTACCTTCCGTTCGACGCACAGTGTCACGACCGCGGCCAAAAATGGTCAAAACAATTAGAATAAATATGAAATTAAGGATATGTCGAGTAGTTTTGTGTCTACAAAGGTTCAAATCTGATAATTATTTATAAACTGATTTTTTACCATATTTTAGAAAAATGGGCGTGTTTTTCTGATGCGCAAATATTTGAATATTCAAATTAACCGTTATTATAAAAGTGTTTATTTTGGTTGCTGTGGATGTTAAAAACTAGGATTCGCTGTAGTTTGTATGTATATAGATATCATATGATGTATACAGTGTCCACACTTGCAGTACTTAGTTCATCAATTTTTTTAAAACAAATTTTGAGATTAGCGGAGCAGAGAAAAAAGTTTAGCTCTATTTTTCTATTTGAGTGGTGGAAATTTTTCATTGAATTTGGTTGAATATTAAATATTATATAGCCCAAAATAGTAAACATTTTCAAGACCTTTTGAATGGGAGGTATATCAAAACTTGGTCCGATTTTGCCAGTTTTTGGTCAGTTTCTTTATAGGCCTAAGTAAATGTAAATTTGGTTGAATATTAAAGATTTTATAGGCCAAAAAGGGCGACATTCTCCAGACCCATTATATGGGAGGTATACCAAATCTTGGTCCGATCTATCCAATTTTTTGTCAGTTGCTCTTTAGGCCAATAATAAGCACATGTACCAAATTTCATTAACTTATGATAACTCCTTCTATTTTTGGCCGCTGTTTATATGAACTCGCGACATAGTGCGACGCTAATGACGCTAGCTCATGTGGTAGAAATAATACTAACAAACAAGGTCAGGCACTCTGACTATTAATCAATACTAACGATCTAAAAACCCTTAACATAGACAATAAACCAGCTTCCTTCAATAGTATTTGAGAGGAGGTATTAGACATAACTCTATATTCTGCAAACTTAATAGACAAGGCACAAAAATGGAGATAAATTATTCGTGAAAGAAAATCTGCCTTCGAAAACCCCTGGATGACAGGGGAGATTCGGAACAAAGGTAAAGAGGCCAAAAGACTTTACAACAGAGTACAAAATCTGTAGTATACTGGGACAACTTCCACGATGCATTGGAGAGCATTTCACCATTCAAAGTAGATGGGACAGACAACGTCTTACCAGCTTTATTACAAAACCAGAAAGGAAAGTAGTAAATACTTTTCACCACTTTGGATATATTCAACAGATGAATCCTAACATGAACATGTCATTCTGCAACCTATACTAAATTGTTTATTTGATCAGATATAGAGTGGTTTCTTACAATAGAACAAAAGTATGTAAAACATTTTAAGCAAATATCGATCGGACACCCGTTGATTATTTGGATAAATATCTTAAATCGGACGAAAAAATATATAAATGCTATATCGAAATCTGAACCGATTTAATCGAAACTTGTCACATATCAGCCACATACGATATGAGTTCTTGTTGCATCATTTAATTAAAATCGGGAGAAATATATATGGGAGCTCTATCCAAATCTGATTTCAAAAAAAAAAAAACTTTCCACACGCTAGGTTATATTATGAAGAAGCTACATCTAAATCTGAACCGATTTCAACGAGACTTGCCAGAGATTAATTTATATTAACTTCAGTTCATTGTACAAAATTGTGTGGAAAGCTGACAAACATTGGGTCTTTAGTGCAAAATATTTATCTACATCTGAACCGATTTTAAGGAAACTTAACACACATCATTCTAGACAATTAGGTACACTATGCCAAATTTCGTGCAAAAGATATATAGGGACTTTGGTGCAGCATTTACCTTAAATCGGACGAATATATATGGGAGCTATATCTAAATCTCAACCGATTTTCAGGAAACTTGACACACATTATTCTAGACCTAATGAAGTACACTGTGCCAAATTTCGTGCAAATCGAAAGATGTATAGGGAATTTGGTACACCATTTAAATTCAATCGGGCTATATCTAAATCTGAACTGATTTTCACGAAATTTACCATACACCATTCAGTACACTATGCCAAATTTCGTGCAAATCAAAACACATATACATTATATCGAACGAAACTATATATGGGAGCTATATTTAAATCTGAACCGATTTTCACGAAATTTAACACACACTATTCTAGACCTAATTCAGTACACTATGCCAAATTCCATACAAATCGATAGGGAGTTTGGTGCAGCATTTACATTAAATCGGACGAAAATATATATGGGAGCTGTATCTAATTCTGAACCGATTTATCCGAATTTCAATAGGGTTCGTCCTTGGGCCAAATAGGTGACCTATGACAATTTGCATCCAATTCGGATCATAAATGCGACCTGTTCTTTTTTTACAATTTAATATAGACAGACGGACGGACATGCATAAATCAACTAAGAAAGTGATTCTATGCATATTCTCAAAAGGAACCATGTGTCTATCTCGTTTCCTTTTGCCTGTTACAAACATATGCCCAAAGACATAATACCCTGTACTACAGTGCGGTGAAGGGACCAAAATAAAGATTGTGGCCCAAGGGTCACGAAAAAGGGAGTTGGAGTCCGAGTCTAGCTAAAATAGCTCGATTCTTCGGTCCTCATTAGTAGTGTCGTGATTAATATGTTGTAGTAATTTGAAAGTAATTATTCCAGAACGATGACCTCTATTTTTCCTCTTATAGCTTATGATCTATGACCCATGGGATTATTAGAATATTTTTATTTACTTTTACTAAAGTACACTTTTTATTGATTATACATCACGACTTTCGGAATTGTCATTTTCGGAGGATTCTTTTTGTATTGCAGGTGGAATTGTTTTTATCTTCCTTAAATTCTCATATACCAAATGAAGCGCCCCCGTTGATGGTATCGTCCGAAATATCGCTGGTAATATACCACTATAGAAAGCAAGGTAACCATCTTTACGTAAAATATCTGAGGCAATGTGACGAAAACTACCCTTGAGATTTTCAATTTGTATACGTGATTTCATTACATCCAAAGGGAATGTTGTAATGCTTTGAACCACAGCACCAATTGTTGCCGCTAACATTATTCTCCACGTCTCTGTGTCGTCTGTGGGTTCAAGTTCTCTATGAAATGGAACAAAATGAATTAGCCTTCGATTCGTCATATATCAGAGCTTACTTTATTAAATAGTTTTTCGCCATTTCAAAGCTGCTATAGTAGATAACGAATCCTGGGATATCGCGTAAAAATGTCGACCCTAATCCTCTATAGAAGCCAGTTATACCTAAAGATTTAAATAACTTCGAAGTTATTATACATAGACTGCATTAAACTTCTCATACGCAACATAAAACCTACCATCATTTTTATAAATCCGTTTTGTTAATTCATAAGGCGTCACCACGCCAGTGGAGCTTCCCTTTTCTATATAGCGTTTCACCTACGTAAATTCAATAAATCCTTGTATAATTTTCTATTCACAAATCCTTACCTCTTGAATCGCCTGTAATTTGCATTTCAATACTTCACAAGGACACAAAATTAGAGTAGAAACTACAGCGAATAAACTTCCGGCAAAAGCATTTTCTAGCATCGACAATTTATGAACATCTTCAATATATCTATAATCTGCCACTAGCGATTGGCATTTCGCATATGTTCCGAAGAGTAAGGTATTCTCTGCGATATTTGTTGCCACTGCTGGTATAACTCCAGCATATAGACCACGATAGACACCATATTTACCATAGGTTATTTTGAAACATTCCCACATGCATTTGTAGGTGTTTGGGAAAGTTTGAAGTTTCACTTTAACCGTGTCGAAAGGTTGGGTGGCATACACTTGAACAATACCAGCTGGAAGTAAATAGGAAACGATTTTTTTTATTGATTTTGAATCGAAAAAATCCTTTTGGAATTTACCTATTAAACGGTGTTTCAGCTCATCGTCGTTATGTTTGGATT